AACTTGCAGCCTATGCAGCTGTCACCTGGAAAATCACTTTATTGTGATGTTCAGGATTCAAGATTTCGACCTTATGTTCCCTCCGTGTTTCGCCATGCCATTTTTAGTCAGTTACATCGTCTGTCACATCCTGGCATCAAGGCTTCAAGGAAACTGATATAGCAAACGTTTCGTATGGAATAGCATGCAAAAGGACATAGCCAACTGGACACCATCATGCTTGGAGTGCCAAAGATCTAAAATTGTCAGACACACCACCAGCCAACTTAAAAATTTTAATTTGTCCTCATCTCGCTTCAATCACGTGCACCTCGACTTGGTCGGGCTCTTATATTTATTAATAATAATATAATACATGAATAAAATTAATTATTATGTATACATTTTTCTTACCTTGAAAATTTAGAAGCAAATTTATCATTTACTTCATCAAAGTCGATCCTTTCAAATTTTTCTCTTTCCACACTTAAAAATGCTAGATGACTTAGGGGATCTTGTCCCACCGTTGATTGTAAATATGTGAAAATTTATTTTAATTTGCTGAACGAACGTTCATAGTAAGTAGTATTTAAAGTGCGACTCTTAGGTTTGGAAAAACATATTCTCTATAGATCTGCAGTGGAGTTTTAGGTTCTATTTCTTTTCTACTACGGAGTAACGTCATGCAGTCACATTCACTGCTCAAAACAATTAGGGTGTATTGTGGGTTCGGTATGAAATAACCATATAATCGATAACATTTTTGAACAAAAGAAAATAGAAGAGATTATAAAGGAAAATTATAACGTTTACAAAGTTGGGAATATGCAAATTTAGTCTGTGACGTCGAAAACTATGCGTTTTAGATAAGGAGTAAGGAACGACCTGCAGTATTCCTTTTTTGTAATAGAAGATTAAAAACAATTCACATGCGTTGAATGCTTCGTAGCAGTGAATATACGACGTCTCAGCAAGATGACTTAGTTGAATCAGTAGCCAGGAAGGCCATCAGACGTTTACAGGAGAGTCAAACGCAATCCATTGTAGCGGAAGCGTTACGAATCTCAAAAAATGTCATTTCCAGATTATGGAATCGGAATTTGGAAACTGGATATATTTGAGAAATTCGGGACAAGGTCGTGTTATCGTTTTAAAATAAAAAGCGAGAGATATACGTGCATTTCGTTTAAATAAATATATATCTCTACTTTGGAGAAATAAAGAAGTCAGAAAGAACGTTTTGGTTGATGTACTGCAAGCATTTTATTACACAAATCAAGAAAATAAATAATTATTATATTACAATAGTTATTAATTTTAAATATATTTTCCAGAAATCGATCAAAATAAAAACTGAAATTTTCCGGAAAATCTTGTTTGGAGACCATTTGGCGCCCCTGTACGAGCGGCGCCCGGGGCATCATGCACCCCTTGCCCCCCTCTCGCTACGCCACTGTGCATCGTAGTTTGCTTACGAATGGGTTCACAAAAAGAAAGCTGATTATATCACTTATTTATTTTACATAACACTTTTAAATAGAAGAAATGCCGGCCACTTGACGACACAGCACTTGATTCACACATTACTCAAAGCACTGTCGCAATAAAAAACCAAAAAAGAACAGTACACATAACTCACGTACTTGAAAGTTTCGTTACCAAAGCAACCATAATTGAATCATGAGGCAGTAGCGCCATTTATTGTTGCAAAGACACACTAGAAATTTGTTTGGTAACAAAAAATACTAAACATAGTCTATCAGCTTGTCTACACATTCAAGTGCCCCAGAGAAGTAGTTGCGTTTTCTATTAATGGCCGCGTTAACCTTCAAACTACATTATCCTTTTCACTCTTTCTTTTTCTACTGATTCTCTCCCTATTATTACATCAAGAAAGTAATACCAGATAAAATCTTGTAACTTTCAACAACCTTATTCTCTCCGCAAATATTTCTATATTTCTTTGACTTACATCAAAGAGCTAACATTTTCAAGCGTTTAAACAAAAGAAATGATTTCAATAAGGACCTAGAATGTTTGTTTTCCATCATTAGAAATTTAATAATATTAGGATTAATATTTTCAGATATAAATTCATTCTGTTCCTTTGCAATGATATTCACTGCATTGAAAGCTATAAGTTTTTTCCCGTAAGTCTTTAAGCGCCAGTCTGAGAACATTTGGAGCATGATGAACGAATAATCCGCAAACTTCGGTAGTATAGTATGGAATTCAATGTTCTTTCCTGGTTTGCGCCAAATATAATATACAGCAAAATTTACTTGCTACTCACATAAAAAATAAGCATTGCTCAAGACATGCTGCACAAAATAAAAATGAATACAAAATCTATGACACAGACCAGCAAACAGTTCACGCAAACAATGCAGCAGGTAGTTAATTCGTATAAATATATTACCATAATGAAGATCCAAATGGTTCACATATTAACAAAGACGTGCCTCTAAAATTATGCAATGCTGGTAAATGTACTAAAATTAAAAATACATTACGCACTAATTATGTATCCAAAAAGGTTCTTATGAACTCCAAAATAATGTGCACATTAAAAGCTGCGTTAACATGTTTTTTCGTGAATTATCTTAGGTTAGGTTAGATTAGGTTATTTAATTACAGCAAAGCCTCGAGGGCTATCAGCCTAAGGGTATGGATGCCTTCGTGCAGGACTTTCTAAGGGAATCTGGCTCGTATACACGTTACACATGGGGAAAATCACGAAAATACCCATGCAGCCAGCCCGTTCGCGGGATTCGAACCTCGGATCGAACTACCAGTGTTCAGCGACTTTACCGCTCGGCCTCTGGTGGGCGTGAATTATCTTAATGAAATTCTAATTATGCATTCTCAATTGCATATACGTATATGTTTTCCTTCTTCCCGTTATTCAACAGTTTATTAGAAAACGATTCATATTAGGAATAATATAGCGCAGACAGGAAATGAGACATTTATTGTAATATTTTTAGCTGGTTGAGAATGGACGTTCTTTGAAATAAACCTCAGTTCTTCAAGGATAGAAACTAGACGCTAAACCATGAAACGCTCAAATTTGCCCTATCCTGAAGAAACAAACATTTTTGACCGAAAGCAAATTTCTATAATACGACATTTCGTACATTCCCCTACTTGTGAGATTTGGAATCCTGAGATTAAGATCTCCGTTTTAATGCCCAAAGTTCGTCGCTTTAACACGTTAAGGGATATTCACAATGAATAGTTGGGATCCATAGGTAGGTATTAATTAGAAAGGGAACTTGGAACTTAACGGCATTTCAGGGAACGGCGAACTTAACGGCATTTCAGGGACCGGTGCCGAAACACCAGTCAAGCCACCCAAAGGATGGAATGTAACACTTCTGCTGGGCCCAGGATCCCACATTCCCGGGACACCAACACATTTAAGCTCCCTCCGCTAAGCGCTCAAGCATAGCTGAACCTACCGCTAAACCAGGGAACACGGTCCAGCTAGAACCACCGTCTCAGCCTGAACGAGACTACGATGGGACGATCGGGTGGGCGATGGCAACTCGGAGCGATTGCTGGCCGTGAATTTTGGCTGCCTGCCAGCACTACTCGGGATGCCCCTCTCCTTAGGCTTTACATGGAAAACCAAGGACAGCAGTGACCAGACTCTCAATGGTCCAGTTTGCTATTTGGCTACCAATACCCTGGTGCATGAGGACTTACACCTCCCGGCCCATGAAGAGTGAGTATATACCCACCCCATGGATCATCGGACCAAGGACCAAGGCGTTTGAATTACGGAGTACCTTTTGCAATTAAATGCAATTACCTCCACATCTTCGTTCAGAAAAATGGAATGGATAAGAGAAAGCAGTAGCTAAAGTATACGAAAGAAGCAGTTTAGCTAAAATTCAAGATTCGTTGAGAGTCCTCTTGTTTGGACACAGGAGGAGAGAACAAGCATTGATCACAATTGAAGGCATTTAGCCCCCCGTCGCGAGTCAACTGCTTGCGCTCGGATACAATGGAGAGGCAACCGGAACGCAGAGAGCTGAATGGTTGCCATGGAGACGAGTCAGCTGATGGAGAGAGGCGCGGTAAACCGGGCCTCGGGAAAGGTAAGGTAACTGTATTCAAGCTATGAGCTAAGACCCTTGGGGTGGTCGGGGTGGGGGGACGAGGTCATTGACCGAAGAAGGCGAAAGAGTCGAAAAAGCGGTTGCTGAGGGATGGATCATCGGCCCAAGGCCCAAGGCGATATTTTCCGGAGTACCTTTGCAACTTAATGCAATTACCTCCACAACTTCGTTAAGAAAACTGAAGTGATTAAGAAAAAGCACTGGCTGAAGGGTAATGAAGGAGACCATTAAGGGTTTACGGGGAAAGAAGTGAATAAGGAGTCTACGCTATGGACGATAAATTCTTTCTGCTTTCAACCTGTTTTACTAGGTTGAAAGAGAGAGAGGTGATGATTAAAGGTGGATCATCGGGAACAGCCAAGTTCATAAATTTTATACCCCCGTGGCCGAGACTTAGCGCTGGTATCGGAACATACAAATGGAGACTAGGACTATCTTGAAGAGCACATAGAGCAGATTTAAATTCCATGAACCGTGGACTTTTTATACAATTTAATACAATTTTATTTTATTTTTAGCTCATTGTATGTTTATGAATATGAATAACGTAATTAATTTGGTTATAATTATATTAAATTAAAATAAATCTAGATAATGATGAGCGTGACACAATACCTGTTAACAACTGGTAAGACCAAGTACCCCACTCATCGTCAATTAAACTGAACTGTTCTCATAATTTATCTGTAGGAGCTTTTAAAAAGGGGTATTTGTTTATTCAGATATTTAATATTATCCATTTTAAGTTGCTAATTTACAAATTTGACTGTTGAACTCCAATAGAGTTTCGATTGTTACGCAATAATGAGTTGTTGCAAATCATAGTAGTACATGTTATTAGAATAGTTACGAACTAGCTGCATTAACTTCTTGTGCATATATATTGTTGTTTTTCAGCTCCATGCCTAGTATTGTCTACGACAGAGATAAGGAAAAGGATAGAGAAGCTTTGGGAGCGTATATTTTGCCTCCCGTCCAATATCCAGATGGTAATAATTTTTTTAAAAATATTATCTCGTTCAGAAATTTGCTTTTATGTAAGTTAAAATATTTTTTCGATTTCGTATTTTCAGCATAAGAACTGAGAAAACGTATCAAATACTATGTAAAGTTTCCAGTTTATAGATTACTTAAATTATGACAGATCAAATACACGAAAACATTTGCAGTCAAAGCTCAACTATAGGCAAAGCTCGGGATTGTTGAATTTCACATACGCTAAAATTCCGGATGACTGAGCATACAAAAAATGCAATTTCTGGTAGAAAAGTCAAACGAATGAGAGAAATACTGTTTAAAATTATAAAAAGAGCCCTTTTATTTGTTATCGACTTGAATATGAAACGCCTACATTAAAATTAGGTGAGAGTTCGAAATAAACAGGGCATTTCAGACATAAAAGCCGAAATAAAATATCGTATTCAATTTCGAAATTCTGTCAATCATGAAAACTGGTGGATATCTGAGGCATAGATTTCATAGATTATATCCTGAAGTGTGAGATAAGTACCAGTTGTTTGGTTACTTCGTCGATATTGTCTAGCAATGGAGTGTGTGTGTTATTATGGTAAAGCCCCGAGGATTATCTGCCTCTTACCGAAAATTACATCTGAGTACTTAATACTTTTAATCGAGCCAAAGCCATTATTCATTGCACCTTTCATAATTAAAGTAACTAAACATGTTTGCTGATAGACAATCTGCCATCCACTTTATCAGTAACACCAACTACATTTCACTACTCATCTCTACAATGCAAACATTTCACCAAATTGAAGGAACTCAATTCTGCATCTTGTGGATTAAAGCGTATTTAGGAATAATGAGCTAGCAAACAAATTACTAAAGAAACTGCAATAGAAAATATTCAAAAGATAGTAAAACCTTCATGGACTAAGCTTTTCTTTCATGTGCCCTCAGCAATAGATTGACAAATACCATGTAGCATCGTTGATTAATGCCTTGGCAGTATAACGTAACCGTTATGGAACTAAAAGTGAAAAGATTTGACCCGAGAAATGACAAAAATTATGACTTGACATGTAGGCCTGGTAAATACAGGTTTTTTAAAACTATTATAGATTTCGCGTATTTAATGCCTTCTGCATCAAATGTAATATGCTTAAAATGAGCAATTCACATATTTCGGCATCTTGTTTTCAGTGTGGAATGGCTGACTGAAAGAGCTCAAAATTATGATTTCAACAAACCTTAATGGAGAATGATGGCCGCATTTCTAAACCTGTTTCTGTATCCAACAAAGATTGATATTTAATGTGTATCTACATATATATTCCAATGCGCGCTGAAAGTAGCAACAAGTGATGGTGATAATACAGGAAAAAAATTACGTTCAACGTCCATCCATATTTAATCCGGAACAAACCATAAGCAAAAAACAAAAAAAAAAAAAAAAAAAAAAAAACGGGAACACAATGGCAAATTGCATGACAGGCGCAAAACCAAAAATGAAAAGGAAAAAGAAGACATGTACATCCTTCGTTGTATCGTCAACAGGCTAACATATTCACATCTTTCGTTGCACCAACCTCCTGATGATGATGACATTTTTTCTTTACTTTTCACTTTTGGTTCTGGAATTTTTGCACATGTCATGCAGTTTGCATCTTTGTTGTTTTTACTTCCTTGTACGAGGTAAAGGACGTACTGTAATAGCGAAAAATTTTAAAAACAAGGAGCCTTAGAACGTTGAATATTTTGTATGTGGGGTTGGTATAACGCATACTTTGGGCACTTTCCTTTTTGGTTGCAATCGGTGCCAGCAAACGTATATAAATATATCTATATCTATATATATATATGTATAACTTAAGAAAGGAGAACAAACTATAAAAGGCCGTTGTGGTCAAGAATTTTGCGCATTGAGCTGCAAAAATTAGAAAACAAGGTAAAAAAATATTCTTCATGCTTTTGCTTTAAAGCAGATGTGATACTGTGGTTCCGGTGAATAATTTTAACAAAAGTTAAAATAAAGTGCAATTAAAAGTGTAAATACAAGATAAATGAAATTATCACTAGAATACTTACAAATAAAAAGTGAATTTAAAACTCAAATCAAATTGGAAGTAAAATGTTGATTAAAGTTAAAAATATCTTAAAACATTTGAATGGAAGTACAAAAGTTATATAAGATATAAGCAAAAATACAAAAAGGCTGTAAATGGTAAATTAGCCTAATTCAAATCTCATTATTGACTCTTCAGGGGAAATGCACAATGCTTTTCGAATCCAGATGTATATGTATATATCTATATATATTGCTCTCCCCATCTGTCCGGCTCGAGCTCAGTTTTTTTATTCTTATATGTTGATAAATTGTGCATTTTTTGCTTTAGAAGTGATTGAATTATGTTGTCTTATGTTATGATTAAACTTTCAATGTCTTTAGTTAATCTTTACGCTAAAATTGTAGAATTATTAGTAATTAATAAGTTTGGTTACATTTGACGAGTAAGGCTCGTCATCAGCTTACTTGGGCTAAATTACGGTGGACGAGTATGACTCGTCCATCGTAATCAGTATTGTAACTAAAATGCTGTTTCAAATAAAATGTATTACTTTTACATATTAATCCATATAGCGACAAATTAAATCCGTCCCGTTGGCATAAAAATCTTCAAATAATTCAGTACTCCAAGGGTTAAGTGATACTAAGCCTAACGAAGCTGCCGTTTATTTACATATGAAACTCTTAGTAGAATAGTGAATTAAGTCAGTTTGTGCACAAAATTCAGTATCTTTTTCCCCAGTGTGACCGAAAGTAAACTTTCAGTTTTGCACACCGAAAAGTATGTCTTTCTGCTCGTTGAAGGAATTGCTTGCTTTGGCGTAGAAACTCAAATTTTGATCATAAAAATTGTTTTAAAACTGTTTTTATCCGTATTTTGTGTTTTATATTTTTTACAATTTTTAATGAAGATGTTTTGAGTTTTTATGTATTTTTGCCTTGCCGTGAAATGTGAACTTAATTAGCTTATTACGAAATATTTCTCTAATGAAATTTGAGGAAATAAGTTTAAACGAAATGCAGTAAAATATGTGTATAATTTAATAAGCCTTATCTTATATGCATATATATATATATATGCATATAAGATATATATATATATATATATCCTATATACATCTTATATATATAATGTAATAAATGTAATAAAAGCCCAAATTTGGGAGCACTGAGACGTAGAAACGCAGAAATACGGTGTAGATACGTGATGCTTAGAGCGTCCATCCATTCTGAAATTTTGAAGAAAAAGCATTCAAGCCGGATTAAATGCCATATTTATTTAAATTCACATTTTGTGGTCAGAATTCACTTGGCATTCCAACAGTGCCTATTTACGGAACATTTACAATTTTGATACTATTGCAATAGAATCTAACGTAGAAGCTTGCTGCAACGTCTTAACAGGATAAAAGCGTAAGCGAGAAGAGATAGAGAGTATCGCAGTAGTAATGCAGAGGAAAATGGAAGGGAGTCGGAACGTTTCAATTCGAGTTAGTTTTGGTTTACAGTTATTTTGATTGGGCAAGAGATATCTGCATTAAGGGTTACGTAAGATCGCATGATTAATTCGTACGATGCAGTTTAGACTTATGGCGCTATTTTTAAGACAGAGAGAGGAAGTCTCCAAATGAAATAAAAGAGGTTATAGCCAATTAAAATTAGAAACTTGCTTTCATATTTTTATCTGACATATATATATATTGATTAAAATAAAATAATACATATATATTATTTTATTTTATTTCAATTATTTTGAGTTCCCAATATTTAACCGATGTTTTCACTTATTATCTTTTGCCTCTAATGAAAAGGCAGGTATTCATTCACGTTTCCTCACACATTGTAGGTCGTAAGTGTATTAAAGTCTCAACCATTTTTTTCTAACCCTTAGATTCTGCAATGAAAATTTAATGTTGGTTTTACGGAACATTTGTACATCTAATCATGACGCGTTTTCTTTCATCATAAATTGATTTGCACATTTATGAGTTTAGTTGAGACAAAGAAAAGAGACAAAGATGAGCTGTGGATATAAATTTAAAATAAAATTATAATTATTAATTATAAAAGTGTTTTATACATCCAGAGCTTTTTCCTATTTTTCCTAATTTCTTTATAGGAAATTACTACCTGAAGATTGGCCATATCGGCGTTGGAGACTGGGAAATAAAATCTTTGCCTGAAATCAAAGAGTGGTATCTTTCAAAGGGTGACAAGAGAGTAATAGATGTTTACTCAAAGCTGCTTATCGAAATGCTTCCAGGTGAGTTTCGCGGCATTTAGCATAAAAATAAATTAAGCAGAATATCTTTACAATTTTTAAAAACTCAGAAATGACACAAAATTTAATAAAAGAAGACTCGGAATATTCTTAATTTTCTGTACTTCATTAAGATGTTTCTGACACTAAGGAAACTAATTTTATATTTTATAAATCGTTATGTAAATTTCATTTTCAGCAACTTCAGCTTTTTCTCTCTTTCAGTAAATGAATGATCAGACGGAAAGATTATGCGAAATTCATGTTATGAAAGTAACATGAATTTCTTTAAGCTTTACTCATCATTACATTAAACTTTACGTTAAACGTGAGCTTTACTCATCATTACAGTAAACTTTACGTTAAACATAGCTTTACTCATCATTACAAAACTGAGCTTTACTCATCATTACAAAACTGAGCTTTACTCATCATTACAAAACTGAGCTTTACTCATCATTACGTTAAATTAGATTACACTAATTGACATTATAAAATGAAAATTATGAAAGTTTTGCTTGAAAACTCGGAAAAAATTTCTTAGAAAAATTACATTTTAATCTCACCGAATGTAAAATTTTCCGCCTTTGCATTTCTACGTCTGTAAAGGAAAAATTTTGGATTCAAACAATAGAGATTATCCTAAAATGTACAAAACACAATTCAGTTTCTCAAAACTGTAAAGAGGAGAGTTGTGTCATTTTTCCAGAACAATTTGGGCATTTCAGGACGAAGATTTAGCAGTGGGATCTAATATAAATTAAATGCATTTAAAATTACATCTTTTAGGTATATTATGAAGAAAATTAAATTCAGGGCAACTTGTCCGAGGGGTTGGCTACTAATGATCTTAGGTTGACATCGCTGGTTAAAGTTAACCATATGTCACTAGTAACCTACCCGATTGACGGCGAGTTGCAGGCAGTACGTGGGCCAGTGGTAGGAAGTGACGCAGTAGATCCAGAGAGATTTTTTAATTAAAATTAATCGGAAACACATTAGTGTCTAGCGTGACCGTTGATTACTGATGAGCTACACATTGGAAGTTAGTGACCTTCAACCCACGGGTCACCGGTAAGCTGTGGTACATTAAATTAAGATAGATTTTTACATTGAAACTAGCTGGACGAACACCGATGCCCATAAACGCTAGTGGTCACAGGCAACCTACCGACTAATGGTCATTTGGGGCAACCCATAAACCACAGATTCGGGGCGATGCAGTAGATTTTTAAAACTTTATGCTTATTAACCAATTATCTTATTATTTTTATCCTCACTGCCTCTTCTACTCTTACCGGATAAATTCAGCTAACGAGTTAAGAATAGAATTCTTGAATTTAAGGAAGAATTTCTAGCAGTGACCGCAGACCATCTCCCTACTATTTACGTTCAGCATTTGGATTTACCTCGATCGACTTGAGTCTTCTGCTAGCTGTATTTACTCATGTGATTAGAGGGCCTGAACCAAAGCTTGCAGTAGGACTTTACTGTGATCTTTGCATACTTTAATTTCTTAAGTCAGTGTTCCTCAAACCTTTTTCTAGTGGGGACTGATTTTATAAATTAGAATGTTCTGCGGCTACGTTATTCTTCTCCCCTTTAAAAACAATTTCTTAGCAGATTTTATTGCAATTGTACTTATATTATTAAAATGGAATTCATTTAATTTGATATTTATATTAATCAATTACGGTAATACAAGGAAAATTATATTTGTTTTTAATAATTTAAATCTATTAGAGTTTGAATAATCGTTACCTTAATGTTACGAATTTTGTATATATATAAATAATTTTAGAAAAATCATATGTAAATTGTAGTATCTCTTGTGTAAGATAACATCAGAAGCCTCAGAATGCGAATAATCGTCGGAAAAATAGAGTTTCTGTGGCAAATCCATTTAACATTGAGATAAATGGTTATCTCGACAGATTTTGGGAGGAATCGCTAAACGCCGCCAAGTCTGGCGACCATTTGATGCCATTCTGGTCCGATTTTTGTGTAATTCTAACTTGGCCGATTCGATTCCCTATGTAACTGTAACTGTGTATGGCGTCCAACAGTTTCGATAAATCGAAGATACTGGAAATTTCTCTATCGGCGGGGGGGGGGATTATATAAGATTAAAGACAGCACCAGTTTTCGGTTGAGTTCAGACTATTAAGAGATATCCTAGTTTCGCTGTTAGACGCGCTTTGCATTGTATTGTGTTCAACGTTCTTAGTAATTTGAAGTAGTACCTATGATTGTGTTCTGTCATACTGAGAAGAGCAAGGAGAGCAGTACGAGTACTTTTGTGTAAAAAGTTCCAGAACAATAAAATGTTTTTATTTATTTATTCATTTATTTTTTTGAAAAATAAATTTTATTAAGTTAGTGTGAATTCTGTGTGCATTCAATCCATTACGAATCCATACGTACGTAACAATGTTTGATGTCAGAAGTAGGACTGAATAATGGTGACAAAGCGTGGAGAAGCATTTAAGACAGCAAGCTTCGTTCCAATAAAAGATCAAGTCCGTTAAAGAAATATGAAAGCTGGCTAAGAAAATATGCAAGCGGGACAAGACAAGATGCAGGGGGCTGTGAATTCTGTTAAAGTAGAGATGAAAGCGAGCCAAGCGAAGATAGAAGTAGCAGTCATGTCCGTAAAGTAGAAATGAAAGCGAGGCAAGAAAAGATTGAAACAAGTTAAGTGGAAATGAAAAGAGAAACTGCTGTCATAATAGAAAACAAATTCGAAGCTTTGGAAGGCAGAACAGACACGGTTAAAAATAAAGTTGAAGAAATCGAACACATAGTTGCTGCTATCAAATAATTCGAAGGAAGAGTTGTTTCTGTTGTCCAGTAACAAACCAACAAAGATTAATTTTTGCCATCAAACAAAAAATCGGTGACAGAGCTTCTGCTGTAGCTAAGGAAGATGACAACTTGAAGAAATTCATAGTGACAGTTGGAAACAATTCTGACGGCTTTAAATTCCTACCTGTGTCTTCTAGACCCTCTCTAAAGTTATCCGTGCACAATGTAAAGACCTGTTGGAAAGTGTAAAAAATTCCTTTTTCTATAATAGCGGATGCAATTGGATCGGATTCCCAAATTAAAGCTTGCTGTCATCTCACCGTTTCTCTGAAAGCATCCGTAAAGTTATGAAGTAAAGGAAATATTGTAATCGCGAAAATTTTCAAAAACGAGAAGTCGCAGAACGTTGACATTTTGCATATGGGACTGCTATAACACATAGTTGTTCACCTTCCTTATTGGTTGCAATCGGTGGCACAAAACATATATATATGTAATAATAATTGTTCTTTTGGCAGGAGATGAAAAACAATTCACGGTTAGTGATGGCCGAAAAACTGTTGCGTAGATGATTGGACATTACAGCGTAGTCGATGATTGTATGGGATTTGTAGAAGCACGACCAGCTTGATAGTTAAACATAATTTATTCTTGAATGACGAATTTCTTAATATATAACTGTAGAAGACTAGGGGTGCTAAACGAGCCCTATAATTTTAGTTATGCATTTACATTTTATATAACGACGAATAGCTAGCAGAGGTTAAGTGACAAGCTGTCAACGCAGGCGAAGAGGCGAAAAGAAAGATACTACGCATTTATTAACTATTTATACAAGATAGATAGATGCACAAAGTACATCTAAACTGTGATTGGTTAAATTTTGAGTTTCAGATCCATTTACATCATCAGAATTAGATTTTTCTGGAAATGACGCAGTGCAATTAGAGGTAACTACTTTTAGTATATAGAAGGGAAATTAATTTACGCAGCTAATTTAATCTATTGCATATTCTTCATTTTTCTTACATATCTCCCCCTCTTCAAAAAAGGTTGGGACAGCAGGGTGGAAGAAAAAGCATTAGAGAGAAAGTGCCAAAGCATTAACACACGAAGAGATATAATTTTAAAAAATACAAATCCTGAAATTTTGAGCAAAATAATTATTTCCAAAATTGCAAAATATAAAACTTTGATAAGATTTAAGATTTTAGAATTTCCTTTAAAAATTTTCAGTCCAGAAGTCTGTGTTTTAGAGTTCACATAATTAGATTTTTTTGCATGGAAGGCTTTGCAAAGCTTTGAACAGTATATCATAGTTGTAAAAATTTTTCACCCGCATTACTTATTTTGAATAATCACAAAAAATTTCAAAATTTTCAAATCGTAACTAATTTTCATTATTATAACTTACAGTTTAATATCATAAATTTTATAAAGTATTACTAAAATTATAATAGTTTTTACTGTTGTTGTTACATTGCTAATTTTCTTATTTTACACAAAACTAGAAGACAGCACAACTTTCTCTAATACACACATATTCAGCTATTTGGGCATCACCGCTTTAACGAACTCATGTACTGAATTTTCATGAATGGTTAAGGGTTGCTTCCGACAGTTGCTTATAAAGGCCTCCGTTCCTTGTTTAAAGGCAACTGTCCTTTTTTTTCTGATATGAGGAGGGTAAAAGAACAAAATAACAGAGGTAAAAACAGGGCCTCTGTTTTGAACTAGCACTCCCTCATCATACTGTTATCTTTACATGCAATTATTCCCTTTTTAAAATTTTTAGTATATTCTTTATTTTTCTTACATATATATATAATTAGAAAAGGTTTTCATATATTATCTCCAAGGAACACAAATTTAGTCAAAAGATGAATTATTATAGAAAACATTTTTAGTCAGTACTGTAATTAGTATTTTAAATGAGTAGTATCTAGACTTCTATTGCAGTAAAAATGATTAAAAATCTGTAAAGATAAATCCTGAATCACAAAAGTCCCTGTGCTGTCCGACTCCATGAGCTTAGTTTTCTTCTATTCTTATATGTTGTAGGGTTTATATTTATTTTAACTAACATTTATTTTAAGTTTAAACTATCTTTCCTGTCAAGCCTTACTTTCCCCTGGAACTGCCAATGCCAGAATATGTAAATTTGAGTAGAACGCGCAAGCATTCAAATTATCAGCGGA